TACATCAGGAGAATGTTTTCTCTTGGCAAAGAACTCCAATATCAAATCATTTGCGGGTTCCACGGGGAAAGTCTGATCATCGACAGCGGGCAGCTCAAGCAGAACCAGCCATCGGGACCCTTTTTTTGATGTCACCGTATGTTTCATCTGCAGCTTAGAAGAGTTCTTAATATGTCAAAGACAAAAACAGAAGGTACCCTCAACGCGCAGTTGGTATCATGAGTGCGGACTCTGCATTTGGCTAGTGAATGCCGTGTTGATTGTGATGATGCCCCACAGCACGTGCCTTACCCTGCGGTTTCACGCCAAACCGGACGCTGCTCTGGTCCAGACTCCAAGCTAGACCATGTTAGACGGTTAGACTCAGCTGTCCAGACCAAGGAGTGTTTTCCAGTTTTGTCTATACAACTAATTCAATATTCCTGTATTATAGTTTCTAGGCAAGTTCCAGTATTTTGAGTTTTAGGATTCATGCTTCTATCCAAGTTGAGCCACTACTTAAAAAAGTCATCAGAGAAGGATCTAGGGATTCTGCAGCTTCAATTTTGCAGCTTCATCACGACCCTAGTGATGGGCACAGAACGGGGTCACGAAGGTGGATGCCCACAGACGATGCATTTTGTGTGCTCCTATATCCCTTGGAGGTCTCCCGCTCGTGTTTGCCTCCGTTCGTCGCCAGCATCATCGGTTTTTTAGCCCCCTTTTTCCTCCATTCCGAATTCCCCAAACATTCTTTGCAACTGTTTAAGGAAGAGATCACCTGCACGGATGCGTAGGAACTTGTGATGCCTGTGTGCTTGTTGTGTCAGCCTTGCTAGTTGCGCACGAATGACGACTGGACGACCTCTCTGCTTGCTTTTCCGTCTTGTTTGGTCGAAGTTCTTCCCCAAACGCCATTGTTTAAACCGGAGCGTGCAAGAAGCGGCACCCGGGAAAAACATGCGCGCTCCGCACGCTTCAGCCCCATGCACCAGCTGCAAAATCTACCCCGGGACCGTCTGGCAGAATGGTGCGGCGCCGGTGCGGCCACAGTGGTGGCCGAGGACCACCGTGGTGATCGCTCAAGCCCCCAGACGCTGACCGTCTGGGCTCTTGGGCACTCGGCCAGCGGGTGTGGTGAGCGACGTTGGTTGAAGATGTGATGCCTTTTGTTGTCAGATGTTGGTGCGTATTAGAAGAGGGAGACTTCCCTCAAGGAAAACAAACCCAAACCTCTTGGGGCCAAGGGGTCTCCTTACTAAATGACCAACCTATGTTGAAGCTTCTCCTCTTCTTCTATTTCTTCAGGTCTGTCTTCCGCAAGCTCTCGAAGCACACTTACCTAGAAGTTCTCTCAGGTTTCCTCCGAACTGACTGGTGGCCGTACGAGGTCGGTTAGGTCGTACCGTTTGTCCGACTGCAAGGGGCTTCAGGTTCCATGATAGGGTCACATGGTCGCGGCCGTGCATTCAAGATCCTGCAGCTTGAACTGGTGCTATAACATGTGTAGTGCAGTTCTAGCGTCGCGGGTCCAAGTGGTGCAGGTCCGGTCCCCAAATCCCGAAGAGCATGGTGGACTCCACCTTGGGCACAACAAAGCTTTCAGGGGGAACCACAGTATTTGGCGATTTTGTCTCTACACTCCTTTCCGCTGCTTGTTTTGCATATCTCTCTCTCTCTATATATATATATATACATCTTTGGGAGCACGAGGGAAACAGAATACTGGCTGTTCTGAAAACCAGTCTTCTCATTCTTGCAAAAACTTGCAAAAAAGCAACTCCTTTGGCACTTTGGCAAAGGACAGTCAGCTTCCCAACTGTAAGAATCCAATCATGGGAACTCGGAACTATCATGAACGATAAACGGTTTCTTCATAAAGGAGCATGTTGTTGCTGTTGTTGTTGTTGTCGCTGCTAACGTTTTGCAGAGGATTTTCGTGGGAAAAGTCTGAATCATCTGAAGATTCGGCTGACCAACGCGACCACCCCCGACGTCACCTGAACAGCGTTTGGAGCCAACCGGAACCTGGCAGACATCGCCGCCCGGGACCAACGGCAAAGCTCACATGGTACAAACGAGTATCGGAGTATCGGAGTATCTTGGTCCGTCCTGGTATCCCAGAACTGTGGGCAAGTTCATCATCTTGCTATTTTGCCATTTGTTCTCCCCCCAATAAATAGCCCCTGATCATGCTAGACATGATCATGCTTTGCTTTGAAGAAGACACACCATTCTGAAGTTGTATGTTTGGTATCCAAGATCAACCTTAGCTAAAGAGACACAAATATTTGCAGTGCTGCTGCTGCTCTATGTTTTTTTTTTTTTAAATATATTATTACTTTTTGTTTCTTAAAACCATTCCAGTGCGAAGGTGCCAATGTACTGTACATATTTGCCTCTACCAAACGTATATATAGGCAATGAATGTCAGAAACTCAACTCGAGTTCGTCAACATTCTTGGAGGATCTAGGCCCAGCCCAAGACTTCCACTGACACAAATTTCAGAGACTAGCGCAGGCAGTGATCCTGTACCTACCCCACTTTCTCAGATTCGAGCGTAGGCAGGAATTCTGCACCTGAGGCTTTCCATCACTGCATATGCTCGAAGTTCTCCATATTTTTTGAGGATCTTTTTGTTTGAGCCTGCAGTGGTTTCCTGCGGCTTTCCGTTTGACCAGACCTGGTCCGGCTTCAAACCCAGAAGGCGCCCTGAAGCCGGAGGCAACCTGAACCCCGAAGTTTGGCAGCACAGAACAAGAAGTTCGCGTACAGGGGCAATGCTGTTTGCTCGGCAATGGGCTAAGAACATTCACACCACGTATTTGACAAGCTCAATGAGTCTGTGACAAAGACCAACTTTGCGCTTCAAGCTGAAAGGGGTATCGTCGTTGGCAGCACAGAAGTGTTTAGCTATATACAGTACTTAATTCAACTTCTACTGCTTGCCATGGAAATATCAAAATATGAATAAACGAATTCATGGCATTACAACTAAGGCAAGACTACAGCTGGCTTAACATAAGTCAAGTAACTGTTTTCTGCAGCATTTTTTAGCCATACTTTAGTTCAGATGTGAACTGGCATATCAAAGGCTTAGCCATCCGAGGGATAGTCAATTTTTTCGATCTTTGCTGATATCTGGATGTGACACCCAAACTTCTGTGACAACTTACAATCACATGTCCGAGTCCTTATCTCGACGTTGACTGTGGGCCCTGGCTTGCACTTCTGCGGCATTGGCTGTGGCCCCCGAAACGGCAACAGGCGCCAGCGCCTGTGTGTGCCAGGCCTTTTTTTGGGGGGGCCACAGCGAAGTCCGAAAGCATTTGGTCAGAGCGACGCTGCTTTCTTTTTTCTCGCGAAATGGCACTCTGCTGGTCGTCCGTCGTCCTACGCGCACCGGAATGGCTGCCGGTTTCTCAGGGTCTGAGGGGTCCCGGTGGCCTCGTGATTCCACCAGATCCGACTCCGGTAGCTCTAGCAGTGAGTGCTGACGCAAAACCCGGCAATCCTGGGTGCACCGTCTGGGTGAACTCGACGTCGATGTAGACTGGATCTATTCGACTCGTAGGGCTCCAAAGGATCAAGGTGGAGCTCCATGTTTCGAAGGACCTGTTGTGCCAACCTTTTGGGACCAATCAGTTGACGTTGAATGACAGAGGCGCTCGCGGTGGTTTTTGGTCCTTTCTTGGCTACAATATGGGGCACTGGGTATTTTGTTGTTGAGGTCCACCCGTCATGTTTGGGCCCATGGGGTATCAATCTGTGGCCAGGCAGTGCCGGAGGTTCATGGGGCGGAAGAAATCATCGACGACATCGATCGCCTTCACCTTCCGCGGTTCCGTGTGCAATTTTTTTGTGACTGAAGGGGTAGATGTCGCATTGGCCAAATTAGGGCGATCGGTGTTGAGTCAGCTGAGCATTCGACTTGGGACATCATCCAAAGGGCCATGCCACCTTGCAGCTGCTCTAAGCAGGTCTGTCCATACTGGTTTGCAGGTGGATATTTCTTCAGGGGTTTCCTACGAGTTAGGAACCTCGGACTGTTGCTTCATGACAACATGCCCCGGATGCCTTGAGATTCTTGTCTGGTCCTAACCTCTCAAGTGGGTGAACAGTGAGAGGTACTGGGTTCTTTCGCCTTCGTCGAATTGGTGCTGGCTTCGGGGGACATCACCTCCCGAGCAGTTCTTTGTTTGCATTTTTCCCGATTTCACTTCTTCACAGACAGAGGACACTCCCAGCAAGCCCACCTTGGCAAATGCATCATATGCCTCGGGCGAGTTCAGCCTCTCGAACAATTCTCCGTTGCCTGCTGAGACGGCCGTCATTTCTTCAAGCTTCCATTTGATCAAGAATCTCAACGACGGACTGAAGCTATTGGGACTCAAGGGATGAACCGGTGAATAACCACCACCGAAACCTTATCGTTCAAGGAGACCGATTTTGGGGAGGAAAACGGCAACGGCAAGGCTCATGAGGCTCATGGCTCAAATCACATCATTCTGAAAGTTGGACATTTCTGGTCTGCTTGTTTGAAGAAGTGCAATTTGCCTTGAGATAGGAATTTTCGAGTACCTCTAGGACGAATCTCAGCTGTGGTTCTAGCTACTAGACATTTCTTTTTTGATCCGCTTTCTTTTCAGAAATTAGACGAAGACTTTCCAATTGGATCGAAAAAAATACGTGGCCGTCCATATTGTTCGGATGGCTCTTTTGGTCACCAGAGCTTTTTGAGTGTGGCTTGGAGACTAAGCTGGCTTCTCTCTTGGCAGGACTCCGTACTGCCTCGTTGCGTGCCGCACGCGCCCCCTTTTGCACAAAAAATATTTGCGGCGTTGACCGTTGACCGACGTGGTTATCCCACCTGCGGAAGCATGCAGTGTTTGATGCAATCACAAACTCTTTTAGAACTTTAAGCGTGTCGACTCTTCAGTTGCAGTTCTTATCAGTTCTTCTTCTTCGCCACGGGTCAATCCTCTTCGCCCGAGCCAATTCCCCGAGCTTCCCGTGCGAGGCCAGTTTGGGTGCCAAGGCTGTGGGTGTCGACCAGGGCATTTTCTGGGAGTGTCCTGCAGGGGTTCAGGTATTTTGCAGTATGATCCTGGTGGCCAGGACGCTTGAACTTCAACAGCCCCATATTCTGAAGCCAGATGCATTTTAGCACCCTGCCTGTGACGTTAGGTTGGATTGGTCATCTGAGGTCTTCGCTTTTGGACCTTAGAGAAGAGAGTTCTGTGTGACTTCACACATCACTGGGACCGCCCCGGGTTGGTGACCGGGTGGTGTAAGCACAAAAGGAACGATGGGACCGGTGGTTGATCGACCTCGGACGCCTCCCTGTCTCCAAACCGTGTACACACCCGTCCGTTGGGTTCGGCTCGGTGGATCCGGGTCCGAAGACTCGGTGTGGCTCACTCGGTGGGAGGGCACCCTGCTTTCTGAGACATGTTCCGATGGTCATCTTCCTACTCAACTGGTCCTTGAGTACTGTAACCTGCTAAAACAGTTAAATCAAGCAGGCCTACTGTAGATAGAATATGGGGGTGGCCAGGTCCAAAGACTAGAACTCTTTGGGCGGGAAACCTTTCGTGCGCCTCGCGGGGCTCAACTGTTGGGCCCTGCGTCTCGGAATCGAACGTCAAGGGTATTCGGTTCACCAAAGAACATGGTGTGTCGGTTCAACATACCCCCCCGAATGGCAAATATCACATCACCCGTTTTGGGGGATGTATGTGCATAATTACTTGGAAAGGCTTTCTTCGTAGCTACTTTGGGCCGAGCCCGAATCCCTTTTCTGGCACGATGCCGTCGAGATGTGGCTTGGTACGGTGATGACACATTCTTATCTACTGTACATTCTACATCAGACATATCTACGCACATTTTTCTTTTACGCTTGGGCTGTTTTTGATATAAATCCAAGTGGGTTAGAACTTGGAGCATCCACTCCCTCCTTTCTGTCATCACTTCCTCTACTGCATCCGCTTCATCTTGCGTCACAAAATGACACCCACTGCCACCAGCGCCAGGCCTTCTGACTTGTTGCGCCTGAAAGCGAAAAGAGACCATCATGCGGACCGTCGACCAATGGACCAATGGATATGGTTTTTGTGCCTCTCCTGCCATCCCGCTCTATCTACTAGAGAGAGAGAGAGTAGAGCTATGTTTTCTGACAGAAAGTTCTTGTTGTTCTTTTGGCACCTCATCACGTAAATGGACTTTCAAGGAATTTCTAGGAACCTGGGGAGCATCCTTGAAACCCAAGACAGGGCGGCCACAGACCCCTCAAAACCTCTTTGACATGGACATCGACGTGACATGCTTGGGAGCCTCAATGTCGACTCTTCCAAACGTCAAGTGATCAATGACCTTCTTGGCAAAAGGGTTGTCGAAATCCTCTTTGCTGTGACATAGGTAAAGTGAGGAATCTAGAGCTATCTACTTGGCTTCACCAGGTCCCTTGGTGCAGACGGTCACCAATTTCATTGGGCACATGGTTCCTTGTCCCAGTCCCATTTGAACAGCTCGCCCACAATGTACTTGGCTGTGGGGACACAAGGGACTTGGCTGCGGGTCCAAACCCCCGCTGGTTAACCCCGGGTCATGGCTGAACAGACTCCTGGTCTGTTCGGGATGTCAACCTTCCATGGTTTGTGCTGCTCCTTGGGCGTCAATGCCGCCCCTGTATACCGCCCCTATAGGTCTAGGACCGGGTACAGAAGGAGGTTTGTACACCAAAGACATAGAGAATCGAAAAAACCATGAAGAAGAGGACGCGTGGCAGGAAGTTGCAATCAACCAGTCAAGCGCAGCTTGAACAAGTCACAGACTCACAGAGGAACAAAATCACGAAAAGCAACGTCCTGCACTGTGACACTGTCGTACTGCACTATCTGCACATAGTACTATGTGTAGGCACATGATGTATGCATAACGCCAGGTTTCTCGCCCAGTGTAGCTTGATGACGGGGATTTGATCAACCAGTTGGCAGTGGGCATCTAAATGGTTTGTAGGGCGAGGTCTTGACCCATGCCCTGCCAGGTCCTATTCAACACGAGGTGACACCAATGAAGCGATTTGAGTGTGGCTTGTGCAAGATTCACCCATCCTTAAAATTAAGCAAATATCATAGTGCCAATTCAAAGGAAGCATGCATGTTCAAGGTTTTATCCAGCTGATTTTCAGTCCAGATTCTATCATTTTCTGAGATGGCCCGAACTCGTGCCGATCGAAGACTTGCCGGGGCCGTCTTTGCGATCAGAGTCTTACCATGTCAAACACCATGATCGCACCCATGGCGTAGTAATGGTGAAGGGAGCTACAGGAGGCAGACATCAACGGTCTGAAGCTACCAGTCCGCAACTGTCATGCCCACTCCACAAGCTACTCCTTGACGTCGAGAACTAGTTTGTCCAGCTACCATAGAGAAAAACATCCACTCATCCTTGTGATCAATGGCCAAGCTACCTTAAGCCTGGCCTTATCGAAATTTGGGTTTTGATGTGGGCTGCCAAATCCGCTGTGGGCGAATCCACTCTCGCACTGTTTTGCCATCCACGAAGGTCACACCCCAACAAAAGCAGCAACGACTACAACCAGGTACAATCAAACATTGAAGCTCAGATCCCTCTTTGACCCCGAGACCACTCCTCTCACCTGAAGCAGCCTTCGCCATCACCGGGGATCTTCTTTTTCAGTCCGCGCCGATCACCGAAGCCATGGCAGAGATGACAGGCGGTCGGAGTTTGACTGGGAGGTGTGACTGGGCGGTCCGTGACATTTTTCACTGGAAAACCTCAGTTTCAGCCTCAGCCGCCAGTTTTCCAGTAGCAGTGGATCTTCTTTTCCCTCACTAAAGGGTTGTTTTGGGGGTTTCAGTGTGTTTTCTCCACAGGCCTCGCGGCCTCCAAAACACCCAGAGAAGAGTGGAGGGAATTTCCCCCGAAGAACGAGGGTGGACATCAGATCTGGGTCTTCGCTCCTTGTGCACATCATGAAGTCACGTTTGCGAGTCCAGCATGGGGTGACTGGTCGCTTCGCTCTGAACCCAAGAAACTCTTCGGGGTTCGCTATTAGGAACAGGTGCCACGCTAGTAGTAACAGGTGCCTTACTAGTAGTAACAAGAACGCTACTAGGAACAAATATAAACAGAAACAATAAACTGATTTTGTTCCTAGTAGCGTTCTTGTTACTACTAGTAAGGCACCTGTTACTATTCGCGTGGCACCTGTTCCTAATAGCTTCTTGTTTCTGTGTTTTCGACTAAGAGCCGGAGGTCAGGGTTTTCAGCCCCCGAGCAGTTGGGGATTCAGATGAAGCCTGCTGGTTTGAGATCCTCGTCCTCGTCCGCATCCTCAACCTCATCCTCATCCTCATCCCCATCCCCATCCTCCTCCTCCTCCTCCTCATCATCATCATCATCATCATCATCATCATCATGATAATCATATGACTGATGCTTAGCAAGGAATGAGGGGATGGATCCTAAGGTATCTATATCTATCTATCTATCGATCTATCTATCGATCGATCGCTCTATCTATCGATCGATCGCTCTATCTATCGATCGATCGATCTATCTATCTATCGATCGATCGATCGATCTATCTATCTATCTATCTAACTATCTATCTATCTATCTATCTATTGACTGACACCAGTCCGTCATCACCATACCACCCATCGCTGCCCTCTGTGCCATATCGCCCATCCAGGGGGTACAGACGCGCGAGCCAAAGTCCGGGAGTCCATGAAACTGCTGGGCAGCTCAGGGAGATGGTTCTTTCGAAGTACGCCAGCTGTAACGACCAACCTGTGAATGTAGGAGGGTTTCAGAGGCTGAATTGCAAGACGCACTGAGACACCTGGAACAAGTTGAGTTGCAATCTTGATCATTTTCTTGTACCATGGGGTGTGGCGAGCTTCCTCGGCTTGAACGGCTCGACTAAGAGCTGACTCAGACCCTGAAGATATGGGTGTGCATTAAACAAGAATAAGGATACCTCCTTGTTCGACCCCCTGGAAGAAGGAACATAGATGTACGTAGATCAACACCTGTTTTCCTCTAGGCCAGAGGTTCTTCCTACTCAATTACGCCCATATGGAGAGTTTGGGAGATGAGGACTTAAACCACCTTGTTGGCCCGAAAAACGTGTTCAAAAACGCTGTCCACGTGTTGCGGTAAGACCCCCCAGGGCGGCCAGTCGGGGGGGCGTCTCTCCGGAAACGGAAGCTGGGCAGGTTTCATGAATCTTTGAGGTTGCCAAGTGTTTGAGGTGTTTCTTGCATAGGAACAGCACCATCTGTGGACCTGAATCAGGAATCGACAGGTGAGCGCATGGAATCAGCAACGCATATTCCGCGCCTCAGTGAGGCTACTGTGCTGCAGATTCGGTGTTTGCACAACAACCCCTTGACAGCAACTACACTTGGAGGCCTGACCACTACTCATTAGCCTTCAAATGAACCAAGGCGGAGCAGGAAGATCCAGGATCACAATCTTGAGTTGACAGGGTATTTTGATCCAAATGACGGGTGTTTCATCACCCCGTTCCAAATCCCCCATTACTTGGCTTCTCTTGAAAGGCGACCAGATTGCACCAAATTGGTCGCTCACAGTCGAGGCTGCTGCAGAAGGGGTCGAGTTCGGTGGCGAAGCCGGCGACATCAAAGCCAACTTCGTTGGTCGAGGCAGCTGGATCTGCGTCGGGTCTGAACATGCCAAGAATCGACCGGACGGGCTAAAACCACAGGACTGGAAGATGGGGCCGTTGGAGAGGACCGAACCGTCCACAGGCTTCTTTGTGACTCCTTCCGCCTCGGAAAGGACCCTTTTTTTTAGCTGCAAAAATGGCGGGCTCATCCCTCGGACATATAAGTTGCCCGGAACAGCTATTAAGCTTGTAATTAAAGCAAAAAGTGCCCTGCAACTCAAATATATATATATATATATAGTTCTTCTCCGGTGCGTTGACATTGATGTTTCTTTGAGATCTTCCTCTAGACGCCCATGATAGAGGATTTGCCCTTCAGACCGGTCGTTGCTGAACACCGTCGTGAGCTTTGGAGACCTTACCCATCGCTCAGAAAGAGATGTCCGTCTGCTTCGCATGTTCCCACAGATGCGTTTGCAATGGATCTTATTTTTGGAGCATCAGTTATAGTAGATGGTATATTCTAGTTGCACTCCCTGAAACTGACATGGAAGTGGATGGCATGGCCCCGAGTTCGGAAGACCATGAAATCCTCCACAAACAGGGGATGCCACGGTGCCATCCACTTCCATGTTTGTTCCAGGGAGAGTATTTACAGTCACTAGTTGTCTTTTCTTTGTTTCTCGTCCAGGCCTTCCAAGGTCTTGGCTCGCTCGCTTCTAAGTGCGGACTGGGTGGCCAAGCCTTAAGGACGGCGGACTGGGTGGACTTTGGACTGGGTGGATTCGCCAAGTTAAGATGTTATGAAGGGTTTGGTGTATTAAAGGGTTGGGATATTGGAAGGCCTTTGGTACTGTACTTTCCGATGGTGGTATAAATAATATTAATTACTGTATATTCCCCCTGTCAAAAACTACAGGGCGGGCCAGCTTACACCATCCGATGCCGCCACCAACGGCGGATGTCGCGCTTTCTCGCGCCAGGCGGGACACGCCGCGCGGGACTTTGGCTACAGTAAGTTTGAGCACATTGGCCGGGAGGAGGACGTTGGGAGGACGAGGAGGAAAGAATACCAACCGTAGCTCTTGTCCGGAATGTGAAAGGACAGGCTCATCTTTGACGCCTAACCTGGAGTCCAAGCTCTTTGATTGCTTCAATTTCTAGAACTCTTGCGAAGTGGATCCAGCGGACCGGGTGCTTTCGTCAGTTGTCCTGACGTCGGAAACCACCGGACGCTGGGTTCGCCATGAAGACGTCCTTAGCGACTCTATCGACTGACCCAAAGAATCAAGGGAAAGCTATTACTCAGACTCATCTTACATCTTCCTAAAAGAGGTCAGCCTCATTTGGATGGTCATGGACCACAACCTCCGGCTTGGAATAGTTTGCAGGGGTGTCTTTTT